GTAATTTACAAGTGCGTAAAAAACCAGTTTGTCATTTGAAGGCAAGGGATGAATTTGTGCACTTTTTGATGTTAAAATATATAAGGTCTGCAATTTGTCGGCAGAATATACTTACGACTACCGTCGGATAACGGTACTCGAAATTTAACAAACTATAAATAGTGCGTTAAGGAATTTATGAGCAGTTCATTATTCGACCACAAAAAACTGCGAGGACTGCCTCTGATGTGGGCCAAAAAAGGAACGCCTCATTAATGGATCGTTGAGTAAAATAAATTCCAGTAAACCATCCCGAACACCATTAGCCTGCCTGCCGTTCCAAGGTTTAAGAGTAGAAATATCTTGCTCCGTATCCCTGATGCATCTCGAATATTTAAATCCACTCCGCTATATGTCTACACTTCTTAACTATTCTCAAGCGCGGCAAAAAAGAAACCCGTCATCTAGTATGCGATTAAATAGCAAATCATGTAGGTCCAATGGGCGCTGAAAAGAACAAAACTAACTCAACCCGAGAGACTCTCATTATTGAACAGCTATTTCACAGAGCTGCAGTCGTCAGGAGTGATGTTAACGACAAGCAACATCGAAAAAAACAATCATCGAAGATTTGAGTGGATCCTTTACGAAGAAGGAGACTGAACTGGATCATTTCTTAGAAATACAATCTGCTTAATGGTGCCACGGTAGATGTGAACACCGTGACGTGGTCACCAGGGAAACAATGATAGTCGATTGGGGTCTCAAATCAATTCTTGAACATGGAAAACAACAGAATGATGTTGCGCACGCAAAGTGGGCGTATAATGCATAAACGGCAGTTGCTATACTACCGCACGCCTACTAATAATCATGTCGTCTTCATTCACCGCAAATTTGGTGGTTCGATTGTGTGGTTTCTCAAGCACAAAATTTCGTATCCTGGATGGTAGTATTCTTTCCGCTTATAAGTATCATAATCTTGCCCCGTTTTTAAAATTAACATATTAGAATTTCTAACCTTAGGGCCAG